TGCAGAGGGAAGGGAACCAGATGAACAAATCCCTAAATGGAAAATACGGTTTGGGATCCGGTCATTCTTTCCCTACCCCTGTGCCACTGATGTCGTAACAGCTCCACGCTCTCTGCACTCATGTGCCATGCATGGTGCCATACTTTGTGGTGGGTTATCTTACTTAACCTTGTGAAACCCATAGGGCGGGACTATTTTTAATCTCCATTCTATAGATGAGTAAACAGAGACATAAAGAGGTGAAGTAATCAACACAAAGTTACACACAAGCCGGCGGTGGGTCCCCCGTGCAAACCCAGGTCCCTGAGTCCACAGCCTGCACTCCCAGCCAGCAGCATGCCTTGCTTTCCACACCTATCCAAAGATACTTCTTGCCATGGGCTGAGGACTACTATCCTGTGAATGTCTTCTACAGGGCTTGGTGAAGACAATGAACTCTTGCAAGAAACAGAAAAAGGTCCCCACCTGCCTCCAGAACAAAGTTGACTCCTGCCCCTTCATGATCCCCCAGATGAATGACAAGCACTTCCAAGAAACTTGAGGTGCCACCCGGCAACTCTCAATCACAGCGCTCCCCATCTGCATCATGCTGGACTGGAAAATGTAGGAGCTGCACGCCCTGAAGGAAAGCTTCACCTCCTCATAATGGGAAAAGCAAGAGACTGCTCTTGCCTCAGTAGGACTGCCCGTACTCCCAGAACCACCAGCATGGAACTCCCCTCCATCATTACTTAGATGCCACGGCCAGCACTTTCCTTCCATACCAAAACCTTGTCAGGAAGGAAGGTTACCAGAAATAAAACACGAACTCCCTAGTGCAAAGGCACAGTGGGTCCCTTCACTCTTCTTGTGCTACCCACTTAAGCCCTCCTCTTCCCACACATGACCACACGGAAGGGTTTCACTTCTCTCTGCAACCAGCCTTCATCATAATGCAGTCTCTGTGCTCAGAACTAGCAAGAGAGTCTTCCTAATTCTCAGCTGAATATGGGCCTACCAGTGGTAGGACAGCCCCAAGCTATTCAACAAAAAACCACCAGAGGAAACAATTTCAAATCTGGCTTTACAAGCATGGCATTTAAAAATAACTCAGCCTTTGTCTGCTATAGATGACTTTCCCTAAAGGGACAGCTGTCCTTAAAGCAATCGCTCAATTCTTGGGGCAAAGAGATTCTTATTTTTCCAGTACCAAGCACAGACCTACAGGAGGGCACCCCCATGCACCAACTCTGATAGCATCTGAAATGCAAACATCGAAGTCATCATAATGACTCCTGCCATCTCTGCTGGCCTGGGAACATCCAGGATGCTGCACCTCAGATGACTGAGAAGCCCCCTGCAGGAAGCCACAGCATCCAAGAACCCCTACTCTCCCCTTCATTAAGATGTCAGCCCAGAAGGCTTGGCAATCACACCACAGCCACATCAGGTTTCAATGGATCCCTGCATTATTTCTTCAAAGAAAATTGTTTCTTCACATATCTAACTCATTTTTTGATCAGACAGCCAGACAAAGGAATAGGGATAAAATGCACAAAATAGAAAAGGGGTTAGGGGAGCAGTTATGGTAAACAATATGAAAAGTCACCAGAATGCCTACCTTGTCATTCCAAGATACCCTTGGGGTAGACCTAGAAATGCACAATTTGTCAGCTAATGGCTTCATTTCATTTCAACCAGACAGGTAGCACTAAGGGTACGACGCTGCTCAGCAGAACTCCAAAGAAACATGCCAAGCAAAGAGCCGAAAACAAATGTTTGGTAAATTGCTCAGTGATTGCCTCCTTATTAGCCTGAATAGTTAGTTTTATCAACTAAAAGTGTAAAATTATGTTCTTAATAATATTCTATTTCTTTTTGGCAACTTAATGTCTCTTCACCTTCTCAAAAGTTTTTGCCATAAAGCATGACTTGAGGTAAAAAGCATCCATTCATGTGAAAGGATCCTGAATTAAGTTTAGGTTTTGCTGTCCGAGTTGAAGGTCTGGACCAGTGGTTCTCAACTGGGAGTGATTTTAATCTCCAGGGGACATCTGGCAGTGACTGGAGACAATTCTACTTGTCACAGCTATGGGGAGGTTGCTGCTGGCATCTAAAGGGTACAGGCAGGGATGCTGCTAAATATCCTACGATGCACAGGACAGTCTCCCGCAAGACTTAACCCAAAACATTAATAGTGCCAAGGTTGAGAAATCCTGATGGAGACTGAAATTAAACAATTCCCAGAATGCTCAAGGCTACATCTGTGCTCTTCCTTTCTGAGGACTTATTTTTCCTCAAGATTAACTTGGTACTTCTATTCTGGTCACTCCTGTGAGCTACAAAGAATAATCAAGAACTTTCTCCTTTTTCAGGCTTGCTTGCGAGATACATCCATCAAGCCCATATCTGTAGAATTTTACTTTGCATTATCATCATCATAATGATCAACATTGTATGAATAGCACAGAGTCATTTTATCTGAGTTTAGCATTTAAGGAAGAGCTTTAACTTTTTTTCTTTTCTGTCAAGACTATCATTGAGTTTTCTATTTAAAGATGAAAATGATTTTGAAGTACATTTCCATTATTTAAAAAAAGACATTTAAGTGAGAGCTTATTGCTAGACCCTCAGTGCCCCCTTTGAAGCTAGTGCCTTTCCACCATAACCTAACCAAATGATATGCACTGAAACTCAGAAGTTCTTTGCTCTGGACTGCAGCTCTGATTGGAGCATCCCACGTTTCTGGGAGTCACTGACCAATACGGACTCTCCTGAGCTCTGACAAATGACTTTTAAAGAAGCCTCAAATTCTAAAAACTCTTGTTTTTGACTTTCAGTAGGAACCATGGTGTGGACACCCAATATTTGCATGTCTTTTGGGAAAAAATACCATACTTCTTTTTTTTTTTTTTTCCTTTTTGTCTTTTTTCGTGTCCAGCAACGGACCGCAACCCTCAGTGTCGCACCGGTACCGGACCGGGACCGGCAACGGGATTGAAACCCTCGGTGCTGCGCCCGCCCCTCATTCAGCCAGTGAGCGGGAACCGGTCTGTATGTGGGATCCGAACCCTCGGCGGGAGCGCCACCGCACTCCCAAGCGGCGCACTGTAGCAGTGCGCCACCGGGCCGGCCCCGATACTTCTAACATAGTATACATACTATATTTGGTAGGGGACTGAGAAATGCTTGTCAATTGATTTTAAGTGCTAGGGTTAAAACACCCCAATCCAGCAACTATTGGGTAAAATCCCTTGATATTTCTCTACAGAGGAAGGGTTATATACTATACCTGATTACCTTAAGAAGGTATTTCAGAAGACAGGGATTAAAAGAAATGATAATTAACAATAATCACCAGGGCTCTCATTAATAGAACACCTAGTAGTAGTCATTTGACTCTTTATACATATCATCTCTAATTTTCACAATAACCCAATCAAATAGAAATAATACCTTTCTACACAAAGGGAAACTGAGGCTGTAAGAGGTTATGTCACTTTCTAAGGGCACACACCTATGACGTGATAAGTCTCACTATGCAAAGCAGAACAACTGAGACACAACTGTGCCTTCTCACTGGGGCTCTGCTCCCTTCTCCCCTGGTTGTTTTCCCACTTTGAAGGGTTATTTATTTTGCTGGTTGTCTGGTACTGCAAAGAAAGTGAAGACAGTGGCACTGTGTGCTAAAAGTAGCAGGGGCTCAGCTCCATCTACAGCAGTGTTTGCTCCAGGTCATGCAGCCTCCAGGGGTAGCTGCAAGTTAATACTTAATCCCATTCCTGCCAGTGGCCTTGAGTTCTTATTCAAAGTGGATTTTGGACAAGGCACCAGCACAGAGAAATTTGAAAGAAAGAATTTTAGCTCTAATGCTAATGTATCAAAGCAGGGGCGTTCCCTTCCTCCTTTGCATCATTTCCTTCCATTTAAATCTCACTCTGTATGTCACAGAAATTTCTACATGAGTCGAGGACATGGAGTTCAGTAACAATCTCTAGCACAAGTCTCACGTTGCCCCACTTTCTGTCTTCCCCTGCAGCTAAGGCCCTCAGCTCGGTGACCTTCCTGATGATTTATCTGGCTGGATCTTTTTTCCTGGTTATCTGTGCACATGAAATGGTCTTTCTTCCTGTTCATTTTATACTATAAGGTGCTGAAGGCATGAATCCAGAGCTGTCTCAATCTGTGTTTATATCCGAGCATTTAGCAGTGGGTTCTGAAATATCAGTCATTTCAGGCGACATTTTTGTGTAATATTTCGACATCGTTTACAGACAACCCTGCAGCTTCACGGGCTTTGATAAAGGTGGATTAAGTGTGATGGACAGATGAAAATTTTTTTTAAAAAGTAAGAACAGTTTGGTTTATAGGAATAGCAACGAGAGAGAGATGGGGTCTCTAATAAACAAGGCTAAGCTACACTTAAAAGGAGAGCCTGATTTTAGATTCTGTTTCTCAGTCAATGACAAAACAAGATGCAGAGGATAAAAAAAATACCTGCCCTACATCTCTACTCACATTTTTTTTTCCCCTTCCAGCTAGAGAAGAATGAATGTAGGTAAACCAAGGCTTATAGAGAATCTACCTAAATCGTTCAGCAAGATTCTATTATCTGTGTGTTCAGGGAATGAGGCAAAGAGACAGGAGAGGAAATGGATGCTTACAGTATTTAAATCATTAACTGTAGGTCGGTATTTCTTAAACTGCAGTCCTTGGATCAGCTGTATCAGAATCCCACGGGGAGCTGGCTAAAAATACTTATTCCTGGGCTCTCACCCCAGACCTGAAAAGTCAGAATTTCCAGGGGCAGGGCCACAGAATCTGTATTTAGCTGACTCTCCAGGTGAGTGATATGGATGCTTATTGAAGTGAGAGCCCCTCTGCTGTGGACAAAGCACAAGGTTCCTCTCTTTAGAATGTGTGCTAAAACCTCCCCCAGTGTTAAGATGTTTGTGCCATCCCCCTCTGCCCCTCCCACTTGTCCTCCTCCACTTCTAAAGGGAAGACGTTCAGAGACTTACCTGGTCTGATGGGGCTCTGCATACAGTTGGGAGACGGGATGCCAGGGTGAAGGGGTGCAGAGGCCCTGCTGCTGAGGTCCACGACCGAGGGGGCAGCAGAGGAAGCTTGCTGCAGCCCGGGAGGGTGCGGGCTGTGGTCGTGCTGAGACGGGCTGGGGGGAATGCCATTTTCCGACAAAAACTCCTCCAGGTCCATGTATTCCAACTGGAAAGTATCTCCGTCATACGGAAGGGTTTTGTCCCATAAGGTGGGCCCCAAGAATGCCGACTGGGGGACTGTTGGGCTGTTACTCTCATCATCCAGCTTCTTTTCCTTGTCTTTATCTTTACTAAATGCTGCAGAAGAAGGGAAAGTTGGACTTTAAAAAAAAAAAAGAAAGAAAAAGTGTCGCTCTTTTACCACCCTTCCTGGCCTCTGTTACAAAACTACTTCTCACGAATGCCAGAGTCCTTCTCTAGCTTCTGCCTTTGTGGATCAAGAGTTAAAAGTTCAGGCAAGACACAGATCTCTGCCTGTTTTTCAACATCTTCCTATTTACTTTGGAAAGAAAGCATGAGTCCTTGGGACAGGGATACAGGCTGATCTAGGGTAAAAACAAGGGAACAGTCTTCAGGGCATCAGTGCATTACTTGAGGAGATAATTTAAACTAAAGTGGAAAAATAACACCTATGATTACACACAATTGCTGTGATTTTTTTTTTAAAAACAGCTAATAATCAGACATGATTTATCTTCCAGGAAATTCATCCCAGTAACAATATGAGGTCATGCAGGTTTACAAAGCCAGTGGTCTTAGTTTTGGTAACGCAGAGACTCTCCAGCCTTCTTTAAGACCAAAAATTGAGCACCTATTTCCAGGGGCAGGGCCACAGATCTTAGTTTTCCCATCTATGATCTCAAAAATCTCACAACGAACTTGACCAAGGTCTCACACAGGTAGAGAAGGAAAATGGGAACTCGCCGAGTCCACGTGTTTACTTCTAAAACCACCGGGGCACGTTGTTTTATATAAAAGGAGTAAAAGAAAAGAGAAAATAAAGTGTTTTCTTCTTCCCCCAAGCACTTGAGTATGATCCGCTTCGAAAAATGTATACATTTATGGAACCTGTCCAAAGTACAGCTATTGGAAAAGCTGAGTTATTCTACATGCCTACAACAGAAATATGAAGCTATTTTCTATCTGGAAATACGACTCACCCCCTTAGGTCTTTAACAGGCGCTCTGGATTTTGCCAATTCTAGTACTCAGGCGTGGATGGAATCTGGGATTAAGGAATTTGCTTTTGAGTTCTTTAGAGAAAACAGCCTCCACCGCCACCCATTCTAACCCTCTACAGTCTCATCCCAGAATGTGATTTATAAACGTCCACAGAGGCAAAAGCCTGCAAGTGCTGTTCTTAAAGGAAAGTTACGGGAGGGGGCTACCATGTGCAACGTGAGAACCAAACACCCCAACTCTTGCAATGCAACAGGTTGTCCCCTCCTAGGAAAGAAGATGTGAGAACTCCCAAGCGATCTGTAGCCAAATAATCTCTCAAGGCTTTACACTATGAGCCTCATGGTTCGCATTTGCTACCATGATGTCGAAGGCATGAAATCGCATCAGCCCAGATGACAAATCCCTGGCGCCCCCAGCACGGTTCCGCGCGCCTCCACTCACGTACCCCTCCTTTCCCGCTACAGCCAAGGTTGCCTTGAAAGGTTTGGGACTTACCAAGAAAGGGCTCAAGCCAGAGGCGGCTTCTGCGCGGTTACACGTGAGCCTGCTCCGCTTTTCCCTCCCACCAGAAAAAGTGCACCGGGCGAGTGTGAGCGCTGGAGGCGTGCACCACGCTCACCGTCTTCGTGATGAAGGGGGAGCTTCAGCGGGTTCTCCAGCAGGGACCGGAGCACGCCGTAGGGAGGCGGGATAAAGGTGGGGTTCAGGGGGAGCTGTCGGGACATTTTCTCCATCGCGATGCACTCAATTTTTTTCTTAAAAAAAAAAAAAAACCCAAACTAATCGCCCACAAAACGTTGCTGAGTTTTTCCTTTGCCAAAAGTAGTCGCTTTCAAGGCGGTGCAGACAAGGGGAAAAAAAAATTACTTTTATCTTTATAAATACATCTGCATAAAAAATATTTTAGAAAAACAACAAAAAACTTTAGGGTTCCCAGTGCAGACGGTCCCGGCAGAGCGCGCCAAGTGCCCGCGGGCTCCTCCGCGACGTGCAAGCTGCTCTCACCTGCCTCGGGAACCCCTCGTCTTGCAAAATGTCTCAAAATTGCGAAAAGGAAAGAAAAAAAAAATGTTGACGGCCGCAGCAGGGCAGAAGGCACCGCGTGGGCCCGGACCTAGTGCGAGCACCCCGAGCGCTGCGCCGTCCCACCCACCCCCCGCCCCGCGCCGGCGGCCGCTGCTCCCCGGCGCTCGGCGGCCCCGCTGCGCCCAGCTCAGCGCATCCGGCCGCCCATGTGCCGCGGCCCTGACAAGAGTGACGTCAGGGCCCGCACCGCGCGCCGATAGGCGTGAGGGGGCGGGGCCACGCGCGGCACCGCCCTCCCGCCCCGCCCGCCCCACCACCGCGTGTTTATCGTCGTCGCGCGCGCAGATTTTCCGGGATCTTGCAGCGCTCGCTGGCTGCAGAGGAGCAGGGGCCAGGTCCCCTAGGCCACCGACCTGGGCTCAGAATCTATTTTCTGTCAGGGTGGGAAGAGGAATGAGGAATTTATATCAGTAGTTTTCAACCTGGGGAAAACCTGGGGAGTTTAAAAATTCCCGATAGCGAGGCCGCACCCCAGATCAATTAAATCAAAATCTCTGGGGTGATATCCCGGGCATCAGTATTTTTTAAAGCTCCCCAGGTGGTTCCAAGGAGCAGGCAAGTTTGAGAACGACTGGTTTAGATAGGATTGAAGGTACATATTCTTCTAAATATTTCTCCTGGCCCCAGCCAAGCTTAACGCCTTTTTTCTCGCCCCGCTCCCACAACCACCAAAAAATAACTACTTACTGGAAGTACGAATGGGGTGCAAAAAGTAGAGAGGAGAGGGGAGTGGTGGAATGGGGTGCAAAAAGTAGAGAGGAGAGGGGAGCGCCAGACCGAGCTTCTGTGCATTGTTTCCCACGCTGCCAGGGGGTTATTAATGGGATTGACATTTACCTAAAATGGAATGAGAGCAGGAGACACACACACACACACACACACACACACACACACACACANCTTCTCCTCCCCGGCCAGGCGGGTTCGCTCTGCGTTGCGGGTGCGCCTCCTTCCAGGGAACAATCCTGACCTGTCAAGTTACACCTCCCGCCTGCACCGCAGGAGCGCGACCCAGCAAGGCAAGGCCGGGTCCCCAGCGCTATTTTCAAGGTTGCTCAGGAGGGGTCCCCCTCTTTATGGAGCGTGGAGGGAGGGTGATGATGGGCGAGCTCCTCGATTTCATCAAAGCGGGCCGGGGCGCCGTGGGACAGGAAGGGAGGGGGGATGGGTGCTCCAGCGGGGGTGCGCAGCCAGGGAGGGGGACCCCGAGGGGAGCGTCGGCCCATCCCAGAGCGGGGCAGCCGCGGCAGCGCTCACCGTCTTCTTGATGAAGGGGGAGCTTCAGCGGGTTCTCCAGCAGGGACCGGAGCACGCCGTAGGGAGGCGGGATAAAGGTGGGGTTCAGGGGGAGCTGTCGGGACATTTTCTCCATCGCGATGCACTCAATTTTTTTCTTAAAAAAAAAAAAAAAAACCCAAACTAATCGCCCACAAAACGTTGCTGAGTTTTTCCTTTGCCAAAAGTAGTCGCTTTCAAGGCGGTGCAGACAAGGGGAAAAAAAAATTACTTTTATCTTTATAAATACATCTGCATAAAAAATATTTTAAAAAAACAACCAAAAACTTTAGGGTTCCCAGTGCAGACGGTCCCGGCAGAGCGCGCCAAGTGCCCGCGGGCTNATAATTCTGAAAAGTATTCCTAAGAGGGTCGCAGTATTCATTGCTGTAGCAACAGATGCAGCGCCTTCCACACGAGCTGGGTGCGGGTGCGAGCATCCAGCCTCTCTTGCCTGGAGAGGTCAGGGCCAGCAGGCCGATTCTTCCCTTCCCTCCCCACATCTCCGCACTAAGACTAGGCTGGTTTGGTCCGGGGGTGGGTCTGCAAGAACGAATGGTCACAAATTAAAGAAAACCTTCTTTCTGTGAGACATAAAGGCCTTTGTGACCCTGGGCTGAGTCTCAGAGGTGGGATGTGGTGAAGTCTTGGTGGGGTTTACTTCCCTGGAGCTCCCAGGAGTAGGGTGTAAGAGAGGAGGCACCTGAAAGCCAAGAGACTATGAGGGCTGCAAAGGAGTGCAGGGTACCCCTGGCAGGGCAACTCTGGCGAGCGCCTTCCCTGCCCTGAGCAGCAGTTTACTCATAAAAGGACATATGATCTAGTGACTTCTGTGTTCCTCCTCACTCTAAAATTATGCAAAAGGGTAAGCTAACATTCTAAGCGAATTGATGGTGCAATGTTTCATGCTTCAGCCAAATTCCAGAAACATCAGACTTTCAGTTAATGCCACATGCACTTATAGAGCACCACTGTATGTATGCCTGCAACTCTGCTGGGACTGGTGAGAAAAGAGTGAACCAGACATCATTCTAATCCTCAAGAACTCATAGTTTAGGGTCTGGCAGGTAAGCAAACATTAGATATAGTCTCAAAAGAGCAAAAGTGGATAGATGGAGGTGACATGAGTATGCACGTATTAGAGGAAGGATTACAGAGAAGGTGTCTGAGCTGGGCTTGGAGGAGAGGTCTTTCATGAACTGTCCAAATCCCTCAATTCTATTAGAGCCATGCATTGTTTAACGATGGGGATACAGTCTGAGAAGAGTGTTGCTAGGCAGTTTCATCATTGTGCAAACATCATAGAGTGTACTTACACAAGCCTAGATAGTTTTATCTATGACACACCTAGGCTATATGGTATAGCCATTATAATCTCATGGGACCACCATCGTATATGCAGTCCCTCACTGACCAAGACGTCATTGTGTGGTGCAATATACATGACTGTATATTGTTTTTTATAAAAGAATCCTTTTGGAGAGGGAGAGATTATCTCCCTGACTTGATTTTCCCCACATCCCTGTAAGCCCACAGATGAGGACAGCTGAGAACATCCTGTCAGCTTGGTCAGAAATAGATGACAGATTCCAGGGCACAAAAGCGTGAATAACCCAGGCTACGTTAACAGTCCACTAATATCACTCAGCACACTCAAAATGCTACACCTGTTCATAGTTCTCTGCACTTCCTCACTTCCCTGTATTTCCAGACATGAAATTCTTATCAGTTCAAGTAATGTAGTTTTTCAAAGTAATCTTTCCTTACCACCGGAGACAGCCTAACACAATAGCTTGGAAATTATATTTCTTATTGCAAATGGATACACTGGCATCCTGGTTGATCAACTGGTCTCTTGGGAATTTGGTTCATATAATTCAATTCCCCTGAGCCTGATCAACTCTGGCTCTGATCGGATTGAGTACTGGCCCCTTAGACCATGCTGACTCTCTTCCCTTCCTCTCTAGCTCAGCCTTCTCCAACTTCAGATGCATTTCATAGAGTCTTAAAATTGTAATTGTAAGCATTGACTAGTTCTCAAACAGCCCCATCCCTTAAGAAGATAAATGAGATTGGCACATCTTTCCTACTGTGGCTATTTAGCTATTTGTAAATTTTATTTTAGTTTTAATAAACTATAAACATATCTTTCTCTCCCTCTCTCTTCCCCAGGAGCAGTGACGGACGGCTTCCCACGTAAGAGAGAGGAGGGGGATAGAAGAAACCAAGGTTAGACTGATTGGATAGTAAGACCCTCCACATTCCACAGGCTAATTCTCAAATGGATGTGTCTCTGCAAG